CAATGAAAGCTGACACCGGGGTTGTGTGACAGCCAGGACACCCCTGCCATTAGATTCACAGCAATGCAGGTGGTGCAAGGAGGAAGTCACAGGTTTTGTGGGGGAGGAGGAGGGGAAGAAGTTGGGGGGGGGGGCACCTGTCAGTGATAAGAAGGAGGAGTGATTTGGGGGTGATGGTTCCTGATATGGGGTTTTTGCAGCTGAGAGCAGAAGCGGTGGTGATGTCATTGTTTTAATGCCTACGAGGGCTTTTAGCCACCCCCAGCCCCATGTTTGCAGGGAATAAAAGCTGTATGTATAGAGCAGAGAAGGGGCACACAGCAGCCAGCAGACGCGATGAGGAGGAAAAGCTGGGAAGTCCCGCACCTCGTGCCTCACCCTGACAGCAGAGTGTCTGTGATCCTGCACGGTACCTCCTCCTCCCAGCAAGGTACTGCTCGCTACTACTAATCCACTGCTACACTGGAAGATCATAGATATACATACACATATATTCCTCTTACTCCCAGCGAAGTACTGATCATTGATCACTACTAATGATCCTCATCCACTGCTAGACTAGATTAATATATATATATACCATCTTACTCCCAGCAAAGTACTGCTCGCTACTACTAATCCACTGCTACACTGGAAGATCATAGATATACATACACATATATTTCTCTTACTCCCAGCGAAGTACTGATCATTGATCACTACTAATGATCCCTATCCACTGCTAGACTAGAATAATACTGATTATATAATACCACTTACTCCCAGCAAAGTATGCTCGCCTACTAATCCACTGCTACACTGGAAGATCATAGATATACATAACATATATATCCCAGCGAAGTACTGATCATTGATCACTACTAATGATCCTCATCCACTGCCTAGAATAATATATATATATACCATCTTACTCCCAGCAAAGTACTGCTCGCTACTACTAATCCACTGCTACACTGGGAAGATCATAGATACATATATATATATACACATATATTCCTCTTACTCCCAGAAAAGTACTGATTACTAATCACTACTAATATTTCCTCATCCACTGCTAGACTAGAATAATATATATATTTATAGATACTCTCTTACTCCCAGCAAGGTACTGCTCGCTACTACTAATCCACTGCTAAACTGGAAGATTATATATATATATATACTCCTCTCACTCCCAGCAAAGTACTGATACTACTCATGATCCTTGTCCACTGGTACACTAGAATTATATATAGAATATATAGACTACAATAATATATATACACACTCTCTTATCCCAGCAAGTTACTGCTAGCTACTACTAATATGGAAAATTTTATATATATATATATATATATATATATATATATATACACACACATACATATATTCCTGTCACTCCCAGCAAGGTACTGATCCTGATCACTACTAATGACCCTTATCCACTGGTAGACTAGAATCATTTATACATACCCTCCTGCTCCCAGCAAGGTACTGCTCGCTACTACTCCTCATACTAATCCACTGCTACATATATATATATATATATATATATATATATATATATATATATATAAAAATATAAAATTTTTACTCGTGCTCCCAGCAAAAATCTGCTCACTACTACTCATGATACTAATCCAGCAAGGCACATGCTTGATACTACTAATGATAGCCTAAAGTAATTCATACATACCCTGGTGCTCCCAACAATGTACTAATCACTACTACTCCTACAACCATTAATCCACCGCCAGACTATTTTTTTCAATATATATATATATATATATATATATATATATATATATATATATATATATATATATATAATTATTATTATACAGTATTTATCAAGTATTTATATATATATAACCTTTTGCTCCCAGTAAGGTACTGTCAACTGCTACTGCTGCTACCAATCCAGTGGTAGACTAGAATGTAATGTTTCACTAACACGCTGTCTATAATACATCATACCTCTTCGTGCTCCTATAGCAATGTACTCACTACTACTCCTGCTATCAAATCACCTCTGCATCATACAATTATAAATCCTTTACAAAGTGAATACAGTACTTCATTGTTACCTCCTGTTCCCAGAAGGTGCTCTCTACTCCTGCTACTTCTAGTTCACTTTTAAATCCCTAATATATATCTGAAGTATATCAGCAACGTACCCACCACTACTCCTGCTATTAACTCACTTCTGCATCATACAATTATAGATCCTTTACAAAGTGAATATAGTATTTAATTGTACCTCCTGTTGTTAGAAAGGTGCTCACTACTACTCCTACTTCTAGTTTACTTTTAAACTAAAAAAAAAATCTTATTATATATCTAAACCCCCACCTCTTCCCAGAAAGGTGCTCACTACTGCTGTCCCTAGTTCACATGTAAACTAGTGTGTGTGTGTGTGTGTGTGTGTAATCCAATCCACAGAACTATCAGTTTGTGTAATCCCCAGGATCTCTCCTGCCCCCAGTAAGGTCCTATAACTACTACTCCTGCTCCTTGTAGACTAGGGTTTGTCTGTAGTCCAGACCCAGCACAGTAACCCCTCCTTACTACTACTTACTACTTCTGCTAGTTGAAGACTAGATTAGATATCTTTCTGCTGATTTCAAGGTAGTCAGTACTACTCTGTTGAGATCCATTTATAGACTAGGATAGAATATATTCCCTTTATAGTATGTGTAATCCAGCACGGGTCCTGCTCCTGGACTGCACACTCCCCAGCCTCACCTCGCTCATTCCAACCATTTGTATTATCTATGACACCGATGTGATTATTGTACATTAATAAGATGAAGTCTTAAGATGTAGTAAAGTCGAACTGGGGAACAATCTTCGTTTTCAGAACATCCAGTTTACTGCTTTATTAGTCCAGAGGTGTCCGGACTCTAATTTTAACTTGTAAAATAATGCATAGAATGTCACCTCCAAGACAAAAACACACACAAAATCTACAAATATCCTGAACCTAATGAATATTTTTTGAAAAAGATTACAGGATTTCCCTATAACACAAGTATGTTTAATTGTACACTCCCTATCACATAAAGCATCGGGTAGGATGAACGATTCTCACACACATTCCACAATTTTAATCTATCCTGAAAAGTAGCCAATTTGAAATGAGCCTGATCCAGAATTGTTGAAGATTCAGAATCTTATCTTTCTTAAGGAACATACAAATGTTATGTAGCCGGTTGTGCAATGACAATGTACCTTGGATGGCTGGATAGTTTAGAAGTCAGAGAAATCGATGGTCCTGTCTGGTGGGATGGACTGTGGTCATCTGCCACCTCACTTCATAAACCTGGACATTCTATTCCTCTGCCTCCTATTCATCTATTCTAGTTCTATGTGAAAGCGATGTTTTTTATTCAGGAATGGAGACTAGATAACAAGCTGTGCAGCTGGGCCAGACCGAAAATGAGGAGGAGAAGCCTCTAAGACCATGCCAATGTAAATGACAAGAGGGACACCAGACAGGGAACCAAGCTGGCCTGGTGACACTGGCTGCGGTGCAATGACATCAATAGGGTTCACCTCATCTTGTATCGATACCGGCAGTATGGAAATTGTATTTCTAACACTGTTCACATGGAATAATGCTTCCATTTACTGCTGTGATACTACTAGTATTCATCTGACATGGCGAGCTTACCAAAACAACACACACACACACTACAACCCAATTATGCAATCTCCCTGTGATCTACCAAAAGGAAGAGCCTGCTTTATTGGATAATATAGGTAGGTCCCCATATTACATAGTTTGGGCACAACTACAGAGATTGTATGGTCAGATTGTAACGTGTATGATGAGCCTTATATGTATCGGTGTTAGAGGTCATAGTAGAAAAGAGTGAGACTTCAATATTGGATATCCAACACTGAAGGAAATGTTTTAGTTCATTAATCTTGCACACTGATACCTAAAATGACGATTTTATTAGGCATACAGGGTTTTTTTTTTATGTTACACGCCTATGCGCACAAACACACAAATCCCTGCGTACAAGAGTATCGTATTCTGCATACATTGTATTCTGGGAGCTAGAATTTTTTTTTTTGTGTGCAAATGGACGCAAGAAATTCGACCCGGAATACTGACGTTCAAACATCGTATGGAATAGTAGTACATCTGTAGAAAATGACCTTCGTCCCCCCCCCCCCCCCCCCCCCCCCACAAATGCACCTAAAACAGTCCACACCTATCATCATGTAACCGACAACAGTATTAACTAGTATGACAATTTGAACGTTCTTTCTTGTGTAGGATTTTATGTTCCTTGACACCGTTTTATGGGTGTTTTTTGCTTCTGATCATGAGCTTTTTTTTTCTATTGGAATTTTTCCGTACGATTACTGTACACATTGAGCGAAAATCGGACATTGTGCTCATGTACCATAACATTATTTATGCACCTTCATTCAGTTTTGTTTTCATTCCAACAGTCGGAATCGGCAGTATTCTAACGATCAGATAATCGACCTATCCTTCCTTGTACATAATTTCTTTCTTTTGATTTTCTTCCAGTGAGTACCCAGCTTAAAGATAATGAAATATCCTTTCTAAAAATACTAATTTCCCTTTGGTGATTATTTTCCATCTCCTAAGTGTTTGTACTCTTTGATCTGTCCTTTATGACCCAGAAGCCCCTATTTCATAAGATGTTGGTGTCTCTGCAGGTGGACAACTGAACACGATGCTGGATCCTATGGAGGTACCAAGTCATTCGAGACAGCTTCTTCTGCAGCTCAACAGCCAGAGGACTAAAGGCTTCCTGTGTGATGTGATCATTGTGGTACAGAACGCCCTGTTTCGGGCACACAAGAATATTTTAGCTGCTAGCAGCGTCTACTTGAAGTCGCTAGTTGTTCATGATAACCTGATCAACCTGGACCACGAGATGGTGAGCCCCAGCATCTTCAGGATCATCCTGGACTTCATCTACACGGGAAGGCTGGGGGATGCTGAGCCGAGCAGCGAGCAGCTGTTTGGGGCAGTATTGGCAGCTGCCAGCTACCTCCAGATCTCCGACCTGGTATCCCTGTGCAAGAAGAAGCTCAAGAGAAATGGCAAGTACTGCCACGTAAGGACATCAGGCTACCCGACATTTGGGAGTCTTGGACGGGGCTTAAGGGCCACCACACCTGTTATTCAGTCTTGCTTTAACTCCGCACCTAGACCTATAGACATAGCACCAGGTGAGCCGGTGAATCCCATCAACACACATTGTGGAGAGCTCTATGCCTCAGTGTCTCAGGGAAATCAGCTGCACCAGCATGGACTCTGCCCACCAGAAAGGCATTGCTCTCCATTGTGCGGACTCGACCTTTCTAAGAAAAGCCCCAGCCGGCCTTCTGCTCAGCACCATTCAGATGGTGACAACAGAGAGTCCTCAGTGCCCGGGAGGCCAGATAGTCCTTCAGTAGCTGCAAGTGTTCTCACCAACCATAGCTCCTACAAAGAAAGTTCCCATCCTTACCAGAAGCTGGAAAGCAGCAGTAGCACTCCACCTGCCCAACACTCAGAGCACTATAGAAACAACGTCCCCAATAACCATCTTAGCAGGACTGAGAGTCGAGATCTGATGTTTGACTGGATGAAGCCTGAACCAATGGTCAACTATGTGGATGAGAGTGACAGAGAGAAAGATCTGGACAGAGAAGACAAAGGTGAGGGCTCCCCTTTATCCCAGCAGCCCAGATACCCCAGCATTGAGAGTAATGAACCTGATGATGATAAAAGCACCAGTGAAGAGACCGGCAGCAGTGGAGACCCATCACCCTCTGCCAACCTGGAGAGATACCATTGCAACCATCTCTATGAGCCAGAAAGCTATGGAGACAACCTATATGTCTGCATTCCTTGTGGAAAAGGGTTCCCCAGTAGTGAACAACTCAATGCCCATGTGGAAGCCCATAATGAGGAAGAGCTTTATCATAAAGACAGCATGGACCCACCTGTGCCTTTCCTAGACAAATCCAGCCAAAGCTTAGGGGACATCATACGACCCTACCGTTGTTCTTCCTGTGAAAAGTCCTACAAGGACCCGGCCACCCTTCGCCAGCATGAGAAGACCCACTGGCTCACTCGCCCATACCCATGCAGCATCTGTGGGAAGAAGTTCACCCAAAGGGGCACCATGACCCGTCACATGAGGAGCCACCTGGGCCTCAAACCATTTGCCTGCGATGCTTGTGGCATGCGGTTCACCCGCCAGTATCGGCTGACCGAGCACATGAGGATCCATTCTGGTGAAAAGCCCTATGAATGCCAGGTATGTGGGGGCAAGTTTGCCCAGCAAAGAAACCTCATCAGCCACATGAAAATGCATACCACGGGACCAGATGGCAAACCCAAGCTGGACTTTTCCGATAGTGTCTATGCCATGGCCAAGTTTACCGCTGACCACTTGGGCCTGAAGCAAGAGAAAGCTGCTGAGATACTCTCACAGACCTCACACTTCCTCAATGACCCCAAAACCATAGAAAGTTTGTATCCCTTGGCCAAGTTCACTGCAGAGCACTTGGGACTGACCCAGGAGAAAGCAGCTGAGGTGTTAAGCCAGAGTCCCCACCTGGGCACTGATAGGATCATAGAGAGGTTCTCCTCCCCATAACATCTTCCACCAATGCTGAGCCTCCCATTCAAACCACATGCACAACAATGGACAATATGGACAGTGATCACCAAAAAGCCCACCTTGCAATCCTATGGTAGATGTGCCTGCCAAGATTGTAGATGTGGGCCTCCACCAAGAGAGCCAAAGACTAATCAGTGGCAGCTTGAAGCTATGCATCACTGAGGGACCAGGAGGATGAGCACACTTTGGGAAAGCACTTTGAAAGGGACTTGTGCAAAGGCTCTGGTGCACTATCCCACAAGACGTGAGTCTTACAAAATGTATCCTTCCACCATCTACTCAACTTTTCTTCTGCCCAAAGGTAGTGGGGAGAGTTGCTGCTTATTGTCCCATGAATGGTGGACATTTTTATACATATATTATTATTGTTATTTTTTTATTCTTCTTATGTGAGGACAATCGGATGCAGAAATCAGTATTTCCCCCCATCTATGCAATACTAAAGCCCTGAAATGATGTGAACCGGGTGAACGTAATTTCTTAGCCTTAAAGGATGTTTGTTTACGAGCCTGAATTCTAGTGACAACCAAGGATAAGGGAACGTATTTGATTGATCTCAGAGCAAGATGTGTATTATCTTCGATAGCACAAATTGGCACCATACAACTATAGGCAATTGCCAACCATAAAACAGGCATATACAGTATATATATAGGAGTTGATGCCGCAGGGGAGGAAAGAGGAGGTGAAATTGATGCCGCAGGGGAGGAACGTGGAGGTGTTGCCCTTATCAACCAACTAGATTCCTGCTGTCACCTTTCCAGAGCAAATTGGACTAACAAAAGCAGTTGATTGGTTGCTATGGACAGCACCTCCTTTTGTCTTCCCCTTCAACATCTATATAGGAGCTCCCGAGATTGGCTGCCATGGACAGCACCTCCTTGTCTTCCCCTTCATCTTCTATATAGGAGCTCCAGAGATTGGCTGCCATGGACAGCACCTCCTTGTCTTCCCCTTCATCTTCTATATAGGAGCTCCAGAGATTGGCTGCCATGGACAGCACCTCCTTGTCTTCCCCTTCATCTTCTATATAGGAGCTCCAGAGATTGGCTGCCATGGACAGCACCTCCTTGTCTTCCCCTTCTTCATCTTCTATATAGGAGCTCCAGAGAACAGTTTATTTCTAGTTAATATGACTCAATATCCTGCTGACTGCGCAATCTGAATTCCTTCTCCGAGCCACAACAAAGCATTCCACTATCCCTATTGTATTGTCATTAGAAGTCAGTATTATGACAGCATCTGACATAAGCCAAAGAGTCACTGCGGACACTTCACATTGTAGCACTTTTGATCCATGGACGTAGCACTTCTCTTTTTTTTTTAAATGTATATGTGCCTTATTATTAGCCAGCTGTAGAGTACAGGAGAGGGATGGCCTGAAGGTGGGATGGGAGCTGTGAATTGCTTCAGGTCAGCACCCACTCATGGCACACACATGAACTATGGGTGAATAATATTCCCAGAAGTGAGGCTGACCATAAGTAGCTTCCCTTCCCAATCATTTCCCAAATCTCCCCCTCCTCCACACCATAAGGTCTGGGGTGTGTAAGCAGAGCGCTGATAATCATGTGGGAATACTGATTTGTGCTGTCTGCACAGTTGTATTATATATTTTTGTATTAAAGTGAACCTGTCAAGTCCCTTGCACTGATCATGGGTGTGTGGAGACTATCGTGCCTTAACCATTGTACCACTTTGATGTCCTTTAGGACATGATAATTATCTAATAGAGCAGCATGCTTCTGAATTAGCAGAGGTTAGCTGCCTTTGCTGTGCCTTACTGCAGTAAGCTCAGGTTTCAGGATTTAGGAGCTGAGCAGCCATGCTTTTTACAGGTTAAACCAACCACCTTACATGAAACCAAAGAACAGCCAGATTCACTTCTTATCCATTAGTAGAGTGGCCTACAACCCATAAAGGAAACAATAACCTCTATGGAGATGAGAAGGGGTATGGGCTGCACATGTTAAATGTGCCTGATGCATATAGACCAGTGGTCTCCAAACTGTGGCCCAGGGGACGGATGTGGCCCTTTGCTTGAGTTTATCTGGCCCTTGGGGCACTGTTCCACCAACTGTCACCAATGATGGAGCACCATTCCCCCTACTGACACCATCAATGGGGCATTATACTCACTGATATCAACAATGGAGAACTTTTCTTCTGACTGACATCAGCATTGGGGCACTATCCCTTCCTTTAAAGTCAATGATGGGGCACTGATGCTGGGGAATTTTCCACTCCCACTAGCTACAGTTCGGCCCCCCTAGGGTCTGTGGGACAGTAAACTGGCCCTTTTTGTAGTACGTTTGGAGACCCCTGATATAGACAATCATCCAATATACTGGGGTAAAACGTAGGGGGCATTGACAGCTATGAAGATGTGGTTACCTGCTTTTGACTGTCCCCTGCTTTAATCAGGGCTATAGGCAAGCTTTGACATTGTAACTCCACAAATACAAGCTGGTGTATATCAAAGAGCTACTGATGACATCCAGAAACATATATGCAAATGTGCCCATACAGGTTATGTTTTACATTGTACTAACTTATTGTGATATCAGCCATTTTTGGCTAGGAGTGGCCCTTTGCTGTATTCTTCTATGGGATTACTAGACAGGAGGTCAGGTGTGTGTGGAGGGAAGGGGGGGGGGAATCAACCCAACAATACCACTTTTATCTCAGATATTTCATTTCTCATAAGCTTTTGAAACTTTTACATATTTATCTCTGATTGTTATTAAACTTTTTTTTACATAACATTTTGTGATGTATGTTTACTGACCCCTTAAGTATAAATGACCATAGGTGGTAGTTTGGATGATGGAGGGAGTACCATTTTCTGTCCCTGGTCTCAGATCCTCCTGTTCTCAGATGTGTCTGCTGATTGCAGGAACTAAAAGAGTGTCTAATATTAACCTTCTCCTTTCACTGATTCCACCAACACATACATTGTACTAAAAGTGTGGAACAATATACACTAAATTGATGAAGGGAACACATTCATATAACCCAACTACACACAATCTGAGTCTTATACTGGTGATGAGCTGCTGCACCAGAATGTGACAGATAGTGTGTCATATATGATCCTCTCTCAATCATCCATTATCCTTCTATCAGCTCCAATAACAATCCATCTTTATCAGAATCCTTCTATCAGAGTATCAGGCAGTCTATCATTATTCTTCTATCAGATAAAGTGATAATCATTCCTATCATTATCCTCATATCAGCTCCAGTAATGATCAATTCTATCAGAGCATACTTCTATCAGCGTATCAGCCAGTCTGTTATTATTCTTCTGTCAGATATACAGTGACAATCATTCCAATCATTATCTCCTATCAGCTTCAGGGAAAAAGTAACAATTCTTATACGCTAACTTTTTATCAGACCTTAGAAAAATCATTCTTATCATTATTCCTCTATCAGCTGCAGTAATAATCAATTCTATCAGCATCAGAGTATCAGCCAAGTGACAATGATTCCTATCATTAAGCTCCAAGGAGAGAGTAACAATCATTCTTCCACTATCCTTTAATCAGATAGGGGGAAATCATCCTTATCATTATTCCTCTATCAGCTCCAGGGACAAAGTGACAATCATTTCTATCAATATCCTTTTTATCAGATAGAGTAGCAATCATTCTTATCATTATCCTTTTTTTTTATATAGCGTGGCAATCGTATTATTCTTATTATTCTTCTATTAGATAAAGTGACAATCAATCCTGTGACTATCCTTTTATCAAATGGAGTAGCAAGTCATTTCATTAAAAACAGTAACAATCATTGCTATCATAACATTATCCTTCTATCAGCTCCAGGGACCAAGGAGCAATCATTTCTATATCATCCTTCTATCAGATCATTGCTACTGTCATCCTACTATGACTTTGGAGTGCATTCAGTCCTTATCGTGATTCTTTTTCATAGCTACAATAATAAAGAAACAATCATTTATATCATGCAGATGCTGGTGATAGAAGGATGATAGGACTGACTCTTATCAGTTATAGTAACAATCAGTCCTATCATTTCTTTTGATCGAGTAAAAAAAAATCAGGCATATAATTTCTTCTGATAGAGTAAAAAAAAACAGTCCCATTATTACCTTTCTTTATAGCTTCAATTATAGAGTAACAATTTCTAGAATCCATCTGATATGAGTTACAGTGACCTTCATTTCTAGCCATTACAGTGACGTTCAGTACAGTTATAGCTGCTGCTACTACCACTTGTCATGTGGAACAAACTACAAGCAGCATTTTATATATATAAATTATTATTATAATACAGGATTTATATAGCGCCAACAGTTTGCTCGGCGCTGTACAATATAAAGGGAGCCAATGCAGCAATGATACAGTTCAATACAAGAGGGTTAGGAGGGCATATATATATATATATATATATATATATATATATATATATATATATATATATATATATATATATTTGATTTAAATATTTATATATATATATATTTTTTTTTTTTTCTTCATTCCATTAGATCTTGTATTCTATACTTACTAGTGTAATCGTCAGTTCTTAAGTCTGGAATTTGTGCAGACAGAGGAATGATAATCCTCCAGTTAATACATGAAATAACCTTCCAATGTATCAATCACTTCATACAGACCAGATCAACGTTAAAATGAGCAAAATGAAAATTCAATTGTGAATTTTCTGGAGATCACTGGGCACTGGGTAGAGTATGGAAAATATATCTCGTGTACCTATCTTTTTCTCTCTCTCCAGAACAGTAATTGTGAGCTGGCACACCCTACAGCCCCCTCCTACTCTCCTCTTGGGTACATCATCCTGTGTGCAGCTTTTGGTTACTTTTTATCCAGTAGTGCAGACAGCAGCGTTAGGGGATCGCAGTGCCATCATTTATGTTCAGATAACTACACACACACACACACAAGAATATCTCCACCCATAAAAAATATAAGAGATATAAATTT